CGCTTAAAGCTCTGACTTGGGGGAGAAGAGGGGGACAAGGGCAATATATGTAACCTAAACATTTGTACCACCCCAAAAAAAGTAACATGTACATGTTTACAACCTTCACTTGTAAAGGTTTTTTCTGAGGTCATTCACTAAGCTACCATTAGCTTTACCAAGTTATAAGCTTTTCATTATACAGAGCAAGGTCTCTATTTTTCCCTTCCTTCAAGGTTTCTATAATTCAATATTTAAAATGCACTCTATCAGCTTTTATAATCTGATTCTATCCCCAATGTATCTGTTCTAAAATTTATTAATGAACAGACTTGACTTTGTACTTTATGCAGTACTCTTCAAATCCTGACAGTCTCTCTCATACAGAAGCAAAAAAGACTACTTCAAGGAGACCCTTCTGATTGAAATGAACAGTTAAAGTGTAAGAAAGATGCTTTTCTCAGATCTCATGTTAGAATTCTACTTTCTTACCCTGCAGAAGCACAATTTAGCAAATTCTAAAAGATATCTCTCCCAATGGCAGAAGCAGAACTAAGAAACACAATATAGTAGGAGGGAAGCACAAAATGAGACCACAAGAAAGAGGAAAAGAAAAACACAGAATAGGAGTTTAAAGAGTACAGAAATATTTCTAGTATTGCAAAATACATGTAAATTATCATGTACAAGGAACAAGTAGGCTCAACAGCTGATGCCTTCATGAGGACTTGTCATTGGGGAGGAAAAATATCCAAATTTTACTTACTAATATTAATATGGTCTGTTTACCTCCAGCTTAATGTAATTACACCACAATACTACTACAACATTTATATAATCCTTCAGAGCTTAAAAGTTTTTTCATATGCTTTCATTTCATTCTTACAACAATCCCATCAAAAAATGGTATTACCACTACTTTACTGATGATAAAATTAGAACTTGGAGAGATTAAATTACTAACGAACAGCAAAACAGCACACTCAGTCTTCAGACACATGCAGTCTTACAAGACAAAACTTAAAAGGTTGGTAGAAAGTTGTTATGGTGACAAGGTTGAGGGGCAAAGACTGGCTAGGCCCAGGTCTGCTTCCTGAGCTGAGATTAATACATTGACTGCCACACTACAAAAAAAAAATTCTTCCATTGGGCCATGGTGTTTTATTATGAAAATAGAATAAAAACTTCAAAAACAAAATAATCCTTTCTAATTTAATGAAAAATTTGTTACTTTTTATTGTTTTCTGTAAGTGAATTATATGCAATTAAATTGTCAATATTAATTGTAACACTAAGAACATCAACGAGGAAGATTTTCACAAACCAACTGCAGGGCTTCACTTCACAAAGCCCCGGGCTCAAAACACGAGTGAGTTAAATACAACTCACAAGTCAGTTAATGTGTCAGGTAATTACTTAATGTGCTAAATAATTCCACGTATATTAGAAGAACATCATCATGAATAGAAATATATAGAAAATGTTATGCTGATGCATAACTTATTTCAGAAGTCTAGGATCAGGTGTACTTAATAGAGATATTACATTATTTCCAAAATTACCTAAATTTTATTCATGTTTACATTGTAAGTTGTTT